CTGGTTTGTCTCTTAATTGTCTCGCAGCTGTCTCGCGGCAGTCCAGACACTGGAGACCCGGGGAGATTGTCTGCAGATTGTCACATTTCTGCAACTTTACTGCTTATTTTGCGAGACAATCGAGAGACCGTGTTGCGCGACTTTGCATCTTGGTGTGCTTTTACTCGTAGTGTTGGTAAATTTAAAATATTTGCGGGATTTAGTTTTATATACACAGGTGTGTTGTAATTATATGTATGTTTACACACGTGTATGTATGTATAGACAAATAATCAGGTATATATATTAATCGCAGAGGATATATCGTTTAAAAGTTAATCGTAGACAAGCGCCCAATCTTCCCAGAACTGCTCTTCTTTCCTTCACTCCCTTCTCCTCCGACGTGTCGCCTTTCCTTGCGCCTTCCTTAAAGTGAACAGAGTACCGTGTCCTGCAGGCTATGGCCACGTGCACCCGCTGTCGGAGGGCGGCAAGATCTTCTGTATCATCTACGCCGTCATTGGAATTCCTATGACGTTCATCCTACTCACGGCGCTTGTAGAGCGGCTCCTCATCCCCACTACGTGGCTCCTTTACTGGCTCAACTCCAAGCTCGGACACTTATATCAGGTTTGTGCGGAGTGGAGGGACATTTCGAAGGAGGAATGTAGTAATAATGGCAGTGGTATGTTCGCAATGCGAGCTTGAGCCACCTGTGAAAGGAATGGCGAAATGATGGAAATCATGTCTTTGTTTATATGATATTTTGTTCAAGATTCTCTTTTCGCCGTGATAAACTGTTGTTTTTATAAGTGTATTTCCACCCTTGCTCCACACCTATTAACATGCACCGTTCCCGGCTAACAGCCCTTCAACATCCGCGTGTTCCACCTGGCCATCGTGGGCATCATCTCCTTGACCCTGTTCATCGTGTTCCCAGCCCTTATATTCGCCAAGCTGGAGCCCGGATGGAACTTCCTGGATTCTCTTTATTATTGTTTCATCTCTCTCACAACCATCGGCCTAGGAGACTACATCCCCGGGGACGCCAGAGACCAGCCCCTAAGGCCGCTCTACAAAGTCTGCATCACAGGTGAGTGCAAAAAGAGTTAGCCATTAAAAATTGATGAACGGGCTACGTAATGTACGATCAAAGCGATTTTAACACGCCGTGAGTTAAGTGTTTTTAAAGATATTTACTATAGTCTGTTCACTTCACTCGAATAGCTGGGGCCAAGAAACGTTTGAAACTAGGCTGCTCATTGGACAGTGGAACTCTGAAGATCGTCGTAAATTTACAGTTATTATTTTTAATTATATATATACGTCTGAGTATATTCCTCAACCGAAGTGTATAATTTAAATATAGAATAACGTTCGTAAGTAAAAAAAATCCCACAAAAAATGAAGTGTTTAAAGAAAATCAAATCTGATTATAAGGTTTATAAAGTGATGAGCGACGTTCGACGTAATCACAGGCACACAGGTGTTCTCAGTTAACAAGGTTACTATTATCTCATAATGTAATTATGCCAGTTGTACAAACTCGTACTGTAAATAGTTGGTAGCTGACAGTTTTCTTTGTTCTGTACAACATTAGTATCTGCCCGCCCCTGTACCTGTATAAATTATTTGTGTTCGGCTTCGTTTTACATATTGCAAAGTAAATAAATGGCATACGCGGCATTTCTTCTGCTCACATCTGGTACAAGCGCATCACATGCATATCTCATATCTCGCTTCGTTTAAAATTGAGAAATTATGCAATGGCAACACAACTAAAGGCGGGAAATTGGAACGTCTGATCCAGAGACTTGACAGGCCTTCCCACCCTAAAAATTAAAGGAAAACAGCGACACGGCTTAAACAAAACTACAACTACTGGTAATAATAATAATAGTTGTAATAGTAATAGTAGTAGATATAGTAGTAGCATAAATAAAGGTATGCGCATACATTTCGTTAATTTAAACTTTCATCCATAACATAAGCATCGATATAATCACGTTAATACATGAAACTTATGAGTTACTGAGCACTGATATGAGCTCGTCGATGCATATGCCACAGATAAAGGTATAAATTAACAAAACATTTAATAAACCTATTTTCGGGGAATTATTCTGAGAACACCTTTGGCCGCGCACGCACTCAAGTGATGATCATGGTAATTATAAAAAGGAAAACATACATCGAGATTATGATCATGAACAACATGATAATGAGTATAATGTTACTATTTCTATCATTACTATCATCAGCAGCAGTAGCAGCATTAGTATTAATTAAGTTAACGATATGAAGGAATAATGATGATAAAAATATGAAATAATAATAATGGAGTCAATAACATTACCATTGTTATTATTACCATTATCATTATTTTTTTTACCTTTGTTTTGTTGTTTTTATCATTAACAATATTGCCATAATCATTATTAGCATTATAGTTGTTGTTAATGTTATTTAATTAATTTAATTGGCAAGCCTCTAGCGGCCAACCGATGTTCCCGCGACGGTCACTCATTTGTGTCCGGTAATCGAAGTGACTCCCTCTTCACGGGCGACTCTGACCGGCTCGCATCCACCAATCACAGTCATGCTTTGTGTTCACCCAGCTATCAGACCTGTGTGAACAGACTATATTTTCATTTAGAACTTCGCCGAGAACTCTGAATGGAATAGCCATATCATGAGACACCGGACTTTGTTGAATGGAATGAAATCTCTTCTCGCCAGTAACCTAATATCTTTGTCATCAGGTTATTTACTACTGGGACTCACCTTCGTGATGCTGCTGCTTCACCTGTACAACGACATTCCGCAACTAAACCTCGGCCTCTTCCTCCTGCGAAGCGCTGACACGACCCAGGCTGACCCGGAACGCATGCGGCTCAGCGGCACTCAAGGACACACGCCTAAGTACACACAGGTAGGAATCTGCGAGGACAGGGATGAGGCGTGTTTGCTACAGGTAGAGAGGGTATAGGCATCGCCATTGCCGCAGTGGTTTGTTTGTTATCAAGAATAAATGCATATTTACGCTAACATTACATGTTAGAGTATAGACAAGTACATATTCATTTATGTCTGTATATCCATATATACATGCATGCATGTAAATATATATGCATGTACATATATAGAGGTACATTCATTAATTATTTATCTAGTGTAGACATGTATCCATCTTAAAACACACACACACACACACACACACACACACACACACACACACACACACACACACACACACACACACACACACACACACACACACACACACTTTGATGGCATTAATTGGGAAACTCTCCTGAACGAAGAGAACCGTGATGTGCAGTATTCTAAATTTTGTGAAGTCTATAAACAAGGAGTAGAAAACTTTGTATCAAGATTCAAAACGGAAGTTAGAAATGGCCAAAAGTAGTTCAATGTTAAATGAAAGAAAATGAGAGAAAACAAACAACTCCTTTGTAGAAGTTTCAGAAGACATAGATTTCAGGCAGTGTATGAAAGGTATAAAGTAGGAAGAAGTGAGTATACCCAAACCATGAGGGAGACGAAATTAGACTTTGAAAAGGATATAATCAATAAATGTACAAAGTATCCAAATCTCTTTTTTAACTACATAAATGGTAAGACTAAAATTAGAGATAAACTTTCAAAGACAATAACATCCTTCCTACAAAGGAAGAGGAAATGTGTAAAATCCTTAATGAGAAATTCAGTCAGTGTTTGTTCATACTTTGAAATGGCAAGTAACCGTACAAACGTAAATCAGAATATCGAAAACATCACACTCGAAGGGAATGAAATAAAAGACCTACTGAAAGGGTTAGACAAGACTAAAGCAGAGGGACCAGAGGAGATATCTAACTGGGTTCTGAGGGAATGTGTCGAAGTATATACTCCGTTATTGTTAATATTCCAAAATTCAGCGAGATAAGGAAAGCTAACAAAAGATTGGAAACTTGCCAATATTACACCTTTATACAAGAACGGCGACAAACAATACCCTCTAAATTATAGACCAAATTAAGTAGCGCCGTATGCAAGCTGTTAGGAAGGATAATTCGGAAACTGGGTTGAAGTACTTAAACATGATATGATATCAAATAAACAATTTGGTTTTAGGGAAGTAAGGTCATGCGTAGAAAATCTCCTCTGTTTCGATGATAAGAGTTTCTGAAATACTACAAGAAAGAGACAGCTGAGTAGGTTGTGTATACTTTGACTTTAAGAAGGTATTTGATAAGGTGTCTCCTAAATGACTATTGTAGAAATTAGAACGCCGAGGTGGAGTGAAAGGCAGACTCCTCGAATGGATGGAAGACTTTCTTCATGAAAGACAGATGAGAACCGTCATTAGAGGTGAGCGCTCTACATGGCGACGAGTAACTAGCGGAGTACCTCAAGGATCGGTCTTGACGCCGATTATGTTTACTATTATCATAAATGATTTAGGGTCAGACGTAATCGTGAATATGTTTGCAGACGACGCGAAATTGCAAAAAGGGATAATAGACGATGTCTCATGTCAATGCCTCCAAAGTGACATCGATAACTTATTCATGTGGAGTTGTACATGGAAAATGGAATTTAACACCAATAAATATCATTTAGTCAGGTTCGGAGAAAGTAAAAATCGTCCACTGTACCAATATGAATTCGGACACGTAATACTGAACAAAGCAGATAAAGAAAAAGACTTTGGAATAATCAAACAGGAACCTAAGCCCAAATGATCATATAAATGATAAGGTTTATGAAATGCATTAAAAAGGGCATTCGTGTTTGTTGACGAAGACATGGTAAAAAATGTCATTGCAGCCATCATAAGACCTTGTCTTGAGTATGGTGTAGTGGTAAGGAGTCCACACTTAAAAAGAGGATATAGATAAACTAGAAAGAGTCCAATGAGCAGTCACAAGATGGGCACCTACTCTAAGAGATATGAGCTACGAAGAAAGACTTCAGGAAATAGGTCTTGCTACTTTGAATGAAAGGAGAAAATGAGATGA